GCGCTACTCTACATGCCAGGGAATAAACAAATAAAAATATCTGGCCATATCCAGTAGGGAAGACAGCCAATGTCAGGTAATGGTAAGTGATGTAAAGAAAAATAAAATAGCGAACAGTGGTAGATAATGCTGAGAACAAGTGGTGAAGGGAAGGGGTCAATTTCTAAAAGAATAGCCTGAAAGGGCTTAACTGAAAAGGAATGCTCGAGGAGATGGAGGAGAAGACGGAGGGAAAGACCCATTCAGATATCAGAGGCTGGAACAGAGAATGAAGAGCAAAAGATGGTTTAAGAAAGTTAAGCTGGTGAAACCCTATTATGTCTTGTAGGCCAACACAAGGAATGAGATGGGAGCAAAGAAGTAACAAAATCTGACTTACAGTTTACAGCATCACTCTTGCTGCTGAGCTCAAAATAGTCTGTCGGGAGACAAGGGAGGAAGTAGGAAGGTCAGTTAAGAGGCTAATGGTAGCTTAGACCAGGGTAAAAGTGGTGAAGATGGTAAGAGTCAGGTTCTGGATATAGTTAAGGCAAAGCCAACAAAATCTATTGATTAAGTGGATGTGGGATGTGAGAGAAAGGAAGGAGTCAGGGAAGACTCTAGAATCTTAGGAGCCTGGGAAACTGGAAGCATTAAATTACCATTAGCTGAGATGGGAAAGTGTGGAGGGAGCAGGGGAGGTGATTCTACTTGGGGCATATTAATTCGAGAAGCCTTTTAGACATTAGATGTGTTATGTAGGCAGCAAACTATATAAGGCTCGACAAGATGGGCTGAAATGATAAATGTGGGTGTCCCCAGCATATATAACAACACATAATTATATGTATAATCATACAGGATTTCCATGTATGATCACATGTATTTTGTAAGACTATATGTTTACTATCTGTCCCCCTAAACTGTAAGTTTCATGTGGCCAAGGACCGGGACTGTTCACAGCCAGTAAGGTGCCTGGCACTCAGTAAATATTTACTGAGCAAATGGAGAAGTTGCCCAATTCCTCTCTCAAGAATAGCCACAGCAGCCCACACAATGAGAAGCTGACTCTTTGCCAAGCCCAACCAGCCCAAAACAGGGTCTGTCCATCCCTAGCTTGAGATTCCAGAATGTAAGTGGATACGCCTGGCACACCAGAGTCAGATATTTGGGTTTCAGCCCTGCCACATTCTCAAAGGGTGGAGCTGGGCAAGAGATTGGCCTGTTCTACCACCTCTATTTCATCCTGGGGTGGCCAGGGGAAAGGCTGCTTTACTCACTTCGTGGGCAGAGCTATGGACCTACCCAGGGTATATGTATGGGGTGGCAGGAGCCGCCCCAAAGGAGTAAACCCCCAAGTATTCTCTGAGGTATGCAAGGGCCACCCAGGATCTGAAGGGGAGAACATAGACCACTGGGTTTGCATTAAGAGTAACAGTTAAGGGGGATGGGCAGGAAGAGATTAACTGAAGAACATATATACATTGCGCATGAACACAGACAATAGGGTGGTGAAGGCCTGGATCAGGGTGGGAACTGGATTATGGAGGACAAGATGGGGAAAAGGAGGGACATCTGTAATACTCTCAATATTAAAGTTTTAAAAATGAATAACAGGTTTTCTTGTTTTTTAAATATATTTTTATTTATTTCAGAGAGGAAGGGAGAGGGAGAGAGAGATAGAAACATCAATGATAAAGATAAAGATTGATCGGCTGCCTCCTACATGGCCCCAATTGGGGATCAAGCTCACAACTCAGGCATGTATGTGTCCTTGATCGAAATTGAACCTGGGACTCTTCAGTCCATAATCCGACACTCTATCCACTGAGCCCAATCAGTTAGGGCTGAATAACAATTTTTAAAAAGTGACAATCACAAAACTTGATGAGATGAGAGGACTGCCTAATTCTTCCAGCTAATGCAATACTGCCTGACCAGTGGACGTCAAGTCTCTGCTTCACCTGTCAAGTGACTAGGAAGACAGAATTTAGGCCAAAGAGTGACAATGCACAAGATTTCAACTTTCAAGTTGGATGGTGAAGATGACCCTTTGTGAAGATGATCACAATGGCTCTAATGCTATAGTATAACCCCCTTCCCTTTCTAAAATATTAAAAGTGTGGCCCAGGGTCACCCAGCTATAGGCCCAGGACTGCAGCTCATATGCTAGCTCTCTGTGAGGCTTTCTTCCATTACATCAGTGACCAAGGAAAGGGAAGCATTAATGCATTACAGTGGGAGCTAAGGGAATTTTAAGCATTAGTGTTACAACACAAAATTGTCCTTAGCAAACTGTCCTATAGATGTTACAGGAATGCCACGTGCAGAAGGATTCCTTTCCTTATACCAAACTTGTCATCTTATAATTTCCCTTGGCTTTGGATATTATTAATAAAGCTATTTATAGCTGGGAGTCACAGAATTGCAAAAATGATACACTAGAAGGTAGAAAATGTAGAAATATACTTCAGCAAAATGTTTACATGAAAAATTCAGACGGTAAGATGAAGTTGAGGCAGCTTTCTACAGTCAACAAATTTTGAGTGCTTCCTTTGTATAAGTCACTGTACTAAGTGTCGAGTATTTATGTGTGCATGTGTATATGGTTAAATGAATGAATGAGAAAGACAGACATACACACACACACACACACACACACACACACGAATAAGAAAGAACCAAACTCTTCAAGGCTTGCAATGTAGTTGCTGATATAAGACTGTAAACATCAAAGAAATGACTAATAATACGGAGTAGATAATTGTTAAGTAAGTGGCATGATGTGTCTGAACAAGTTCTCAGATGGAGCAATCAGATCTACTGAGGAGGGGGTGAAACTGTCAGGCAAGGTGCTTGTAGAAAAATATTGGGTTTAAGGTGGACCTTAAAGGAAAGAAAGGCTCTTAATAAGCAGGGGAAAGAGCAGGAGCAAACACTGGTGGCCTGATTGTCAGGGAAGAGAAATAAATCATGCCTTAAATGGAAGGATTGGACCAGACTTGAACAACCTGGAGTTAAAAAAGTTCTTGTAGACATGGGGAGGTACAAATTTTTTTCTGAACGTAGAACTACATGGTTTGGAAAAGGTTAGTTTAATAAACCTCTGGGGGTTGCTCACCATGTACAGGCACTAGATGAATGACTGAAGATGAACTGGCCTTTGGTAGGGAACTAATTTCAGCCTGGGAGATGAGTTGCATTTGAGGTGACAAGGCTGTGAAGTACAGTGGGGAGGGGCAGGTTTGTAAGACCTGCTGAAGAAAGAAACAGCAAGTCCATGTGATTGGCTGGCTGGAAGGAAGAGGGCAGAAAGTAGAGAAAGTCAGCAGAGATAGGTTTTCAAAGTATAAAGTTAGGCACCTGGAAGCATGGAAGAGCAAAGGGAAGGGAGCTGAGGGAAGAGAGGCAGAGCTTGGTTTTAGAGGTGTGCAATCTGAGGATAACTACACCAGAGAGTCCAGTGGGCATTTAGAGACAGTAGTCTAATGTTCAAGAGGGAATAGGTAAAGATACAGCATGTAATGTTTCCCAATGGACAAAGGCTTGTGGTACTGAGTAAGATTTCTCTAAGGAGAGTATGAGAGAGAAAAATGAAATGTCAAACTGACCCATGCATGGGGTGTCCACACCTAGCAGTGATCTGAGGGGGAAAAAAATTTAATAATGCCAAAAAGGGAAGGGGATAATTTCAAGTAGGAGTTTCAAATGCAACAAAATAAATTATGTGAACTGAGCACATAGATAATAAATATTTGTTGAATGAATGAATGAATGAGAGCCCTTGCGTTTGAGAATCAACTTTCCTCAGTCAGAATGGCCAGGGTTGCCAAGAAGATTTCAATGTTAAATTTTACCCATCTCCCCCCCCACCCATAAATACACATCTTCTTCCACCACACAGACATCCTTCCCTGATTCCCCCATGTTTCCCTTCATCCACCTTTCCAGTTTCCGCCACCCAGCCAACACACCTTCGGTGTCAAAGGAGGCAGGAAACTCCAGTTAAAGTTCCCAGTTCATCAACTACTCTTACACAAGGGGATATGTGGCAATTGGGTGGAAGAGGAGAGACTGTGTTCTAGCCCCAGTCGTACTACTAAAGAGCTGTGTGGGTTTGGGCAAGTTGCTCAACCTCGCTGGATGGGGCTTTTTCATAGATTTGAGGAGGCAGGGTCCGTTTGGATCCTAGGCTGGTTCCGAAGATGCCTTGCCGCTCTAACGTCCCACGATTTTATCGTTCTCAGAAGGTCCTTGCAACACCCCCAGAGAAGGAAGTTAAAGTACGAGACCGAGACCAAGACTGGGGGAGGCGAAGCGCCAGTGTAGGAGTGTACCGAGGCGAGAAGGCGCTGCCCGGCCCTCGCGGGTCACCAGTGAGCAGATCCCATTCCCACGGCTGGGAAGGGACCCCAACAAAACCCCAGGTTGCGATTCCCTACTTTTCCAAGACTCCCGGAGTCGGCCCGGAGACTCTAGAAAGCCTTGCGGGGGAGAAAGAAAAAAAATAATAATAAAGATTTCTTTCCCAGAGTCCTGCAGTGCTTTTGCAAGTCGGATTCCGGCAGACGCGATCTGCAGCCGGATCATGAAATGACACAGCCTTTGGAAAGGAGCGGCTGTTCTCGCCTGGCTCGCCGAGTTCTGGGGACGCCTGGCCACCTTCGCCGTGCCCCACCGGGCTGGCATCCGATCCCGGCCCGGGGGCCAGGCGAGCGGCGCCCCGCCCCGGCCCCCCTCCCCGCCGCCCGCCGGCCCCGCTGCGGTCTGGAAACATTTCCTGCCCCCGCCCCCACGCGAGCTTCCCAGTTGGAGCTAGTTGAGCTCGAAGCCGGGTCAGCGCTCCCAGTAGCCCCAGCTCGGATCCCCCGGCAGCCAGAGGTGGGGAGCCATCACCTCCCGTCCCCGCTCCACGTCTCACTTCGGGAAAACCCAGACGCCCGGAACCGTGGGAGGTCAGGCAAGGAAGGGGGCAACTGGAGGGGCGCCCGCCGTAGCCCCGCTCCCTTCCCCGTCGTTACCTGCTCGCTTGCGGGGGTGTCCCGGGGCGGCCGGCCTCTCTCCGCGCTGTCTCCCCACGCAGTTGCCCATGCTGGATCCTCAAGCCGGGCCCCATGCACCGGAGGCGGCGGGTTGGTCAACTGCTCCACACTCCCGTCCCGGACAGCGGCGCCCGGGGTCAACGGCTCCTGCCGCCCGTCATCGGGCGCTCCCCGATCCTCCCCCCCTGGGGTTCGCTCTGCCCCAGCGCCGGCTCCGCCACAAACTTTGCGGATGAGGGGAAAGAGAGGGAGGTGGCCGACACCCCAGCACGGTCCCAGGTGGCCGGGCCAGGGGGGCCCGCGACGGTGCCCGGCCGGAGAGCAGCTCCGCTGGAGGGGCGGAGAGGGGGCGGGCACCGCCGCAGCTACACCCGGCTCACTCCGGACTCCCGGCTGGGCCGGCCCCCGAGCCTGTCACTCACCTGCCTAGCCCCGCCCCCCGCCCGGTCCGCTCCCAGCCTCGGGCTGGCCTTGCGGGCGCGCTGGGCCCCCCGGCCGCAGGTACGCACGTGACCGACGGCACCGCCCCCTCGGGCCGGGCCTGGTTTTTTCATTGGTTTCCCCCAGGGTGCGTACCGCCCCCTCGGCCCCACCCAGTCAGGTACCCACCCCGCCACCGGTCTCCGGGGGTAGCAGGGCCAGAAGTTACTGGCCCTCCATGGCCCCCGGCTGCCTGCCCAGCAGCCACCTCCCCGGCCTAAGCCCCGCCCCGGGGAGGGGCCGCTCCAGCCTCCCTGGAACTGCCGTGCCAGAACCGGCAAGCACGTGACCCGGGGAGCGCCCCGCCCCCCCAGCCTTCGCCAGGTGATTGGCTTCGGGGGCGCGTGCGTGGAGAGGCCCGTCCCGCGCCACAGCCCACTTCCCGTCGCCAGCTCGTGTCATGGCGGCCGCCGCCGATCTGGAGGCGGCGGCGCCCACGGGTGCCCTGTGGGGCCTCGTGCAAGACTTCGTCATGGGTCAGCAGGAGGGCCCCGCTGACCAAGTGGCTGCAGGTACGGCAGACGTCGCCTCGCGGCTTCCGCCAGGGGCCGACCGCAGGGAGCGGCACTGGCGCCGGGCGGGAAGGGAGTGAGGGACAGCGGTGACTTAGAGAGATCGGCCCGGGGCTGGTTGTGAGCATCGCGTACTTGAAGAGCCATAACAGATACCGAGAGTCCCTTGCATCTTCCTTAAAGCGTCTTTACGCCCCTCGTCTTCGTTTAGTGACCCTGTGCGCCGGCCCGACGTAGGAGGGTCATTGCTATTTTCCACCAACGAGGAAACAGGCCCGGCGAGGGCAAGAGACTCGCAGATCAGGCAGGTGGGGGAACCGGGACCCAGACCCAGAAGCTCCAGGTTAGGACCTGGTGCCCGCGCCGCGGAAGCACGTTGTGTCTGGAGTTTGATGTGAGAAGAAGCGTGTTCAGCGGCTCAGCTCCAGGCGCGTGGCATGTTGGGAGTGGCCCAGCGGCGGAGCTCTGCCTGGCTGTAATTGGAGAGAGGAGAGAAGCCAGCCTGAGGGAGTCTGAGATGTTCCGCGTATCCTCTTTAAGCCTTTCCCTGTGTTTCTTCGTCAACTTTTTTTAAAATATATTTTTTATTGATTTTTTACAGAGAGGAAGAGAGAGGGATAGAGAATTAGAAACATCGATGAGAGAGAATCATCAATCAGCTGCCTCTTGCACACCCCCTACTGGGGATGTGCCCGCAACCAAGGTACATGCCCTTGACCGGAATCGAACCCGGGACCTTTCAGTCCGCAGGCCGACGCTCTACCACTGAGCCAAACCGGTTTCGGCTCTTCGTCAACTTTTTGATTAATTTGTTTCGTGACTTTTTTGTTTGTTTGTTTTTGTTATGTGGTGGTGGTTTTTATCTTTTCTCCAGATCTCCAGTTTCCTGCTTTTGACCAGTTTAGGGAGCACTTAATTCTGACAGCTTATCTAAGATTTGAATAAAACAAATTCCAGATTTCCATGGAATTCTGAGACTTCACTCTTTTAGAAAAAAAAAAAAGTTATTGACTGGTTAGACCTTTAGACCTAGTGTTAAGGAACAGACTACAAAATAATCTCACAAATACGGATGAGTTTTGCCCATATTTGGAAATTTTTCGTGCTTGGGGGAAAAAGTAAAGGACATATCCCTTAAAAATTAAACGTCTTAACTTTTAGAATATGGGATAAGTGAATATAGTGAATCCACAGAAGGTATAATATTTTGGTCCTTAGCAATTCCACTTTTAACTAAATCATTTCATCATTATTGAACACATGTTGTTCTCCAAACAGGTGCAAAGCAATCTATAGTAATAAAAGCGTAATATGCTAATTAGACCATATGTCCTTCCAGACAAAGCTGGGGCTGCAAGGGAAGCCTGGGTCCCTGGTACCTGCCAAGCAGCCGGAGGGAAGCCTGAGCCCCAGGTGCCAGAGGAAAGCTGGTGCCAGCAGTCCTACTCATGCACAAATTTCATGCCTCTAGTCCTATATAATAAAAGGCTCATATGCAAATCGACCTAGCTGCAGAATGACTGGTCGTTATGATTTGCCCTGACCACCAGGGGGCAGTTGCTCAAGGCAAGAGCTGCCCCCTGGTGGTCAATGTGCTCCCCCAGGAGGAGCACTGCTTAGCCAGAAGCCCATCTCCCTCTTTCCTGGCTGCTACTCCGAAGTCTCAAGAGGCTGCAACTCCATCAGACAGAGGTCTGATTGTGCATTCTATGTCAGTCTCATATAAATACTCCTTTGACAGCACTCAGTGCCCCACAGGAACTGGTGCCCTGCTGAGGAAAATGTGGGTAGTTAGGAGGTGCTAATAGGTCCATTTTTAGAGAGCAAATCTTGGGACACATTGGAAAAACTTAGGCCTACCTATATAGGGAAAGGAACTTTGACTTATTTTTCCTTAATGCCATTGAGGCTACCCTTAGTTAAATTAACTATTTATTCGCTTCTTTCATCCCAGGAGTCCAAGTATGTAATTAACAGTACTTTCAGATGTTTTTCATTTGGGAGAATTAATAGTGTTAAGAGAATGACTCAGTTAAAGTCAGTGAGGAATGGCCCATAAACCCAGGGATTTTACTCCTTTCTTATGTTAACCCAGTCTCTGTTTATATCACTACTAGATGCCCCTTGCAGGAAGATTCCTGCAATAGGGCTTCCTGCTATGGTCACCACTGCCCCACTGGCTTCTCTCCCTTCTCCCCACCTGCTTCCCTGCCTTCTCCACCGCCCTGCTTGCTTGCTTGCTTCTCTGCAGCTTGGCTTCTTTCTATGCTATCTTCGGTCTTCACTCTGGCCTAGATATGCAAATTAACCACCATCTTGGATGGGTTAATTTTCATATCCATTCTGATTGGCTGCTGGGTGTAGCAAAGGTGCAGTCAATTTGCATGTTTCTCTTTTATTAGAGAAGACTAGAGGCCCAGTGCACGAAATTTGTGCATGGGGGTGGGGGGAATCCCCTCAGCCTGGTCTGTACCCTTTCGTAGTCCAGAACCCCTCAGGAATGTTCACCTGCCAGCTTGTGGCCTTCTATTGCTGCAGGGCCTGCTGCTTGAGCTTCAGCAGCTGCTGCATATGCACAGGCTGGGCCACCATGGTCTGTCCAAACATTATGGAGTGGGTGAGTCAAGCATGGAGGCAGGCTCACCCCGAGTTCCCTCCGCTTCCCTAAGTCACTGAGTTTCAAACTGACTGCTTTCTACAAAGAACAGCACCAGGATCAGACCGAAGCCAGCAATCGAACATCCCCCGCACAGTCCGGGAGCCCTTGGGGGATGTAGCAGTGTGCCAAGTGGCAGGTGGCCAGGGAGGAGCCCAAATTGAGGCTGGGCACCGTGCTGCTCGTGCTCATCTTGGCCCACAGTGCCTGCTGCTGCCGCTTGGTAGTGCTATTGCAGAGTCAGGAGAGGCTCCTGCGGTGGCAGCTGCGTTTATCAGTCATGAGCCCGGCTTCTGGCTGAGCGCACTGACCATCAGGGGGCAGCTCCTGCGTTGAGCGTCTGCCCCCTGATGGTCAGTGCATGTCATAGCAACCAGTCCTTCTGTCATTCGGTAGATTTGCATATTAGACTTTTATTATATACTGAACTTGTTATACTGTGATTTGTTTTGATGTCTTTCTGCCCCAACATACTATGGGCTCTTTATTAAAAGCTCCCTGTCGCCGAGACCGGTTTGGCTCAGTGGATAGAGCGTCGGCCTGCAGATTGAAAAGTCCCAGGTTCGATTCCGGTAAAGGGCATGTACCTGGGTTGTGGGCACATCCCCAGTAGGGGGTGTGCAAGAGGCAGCTGATCGATGATTCTCTCTCATCGATGTTTCTAACTCTCTATCCCTCTCCTTTCGTCTCTGTAAAAAATCAATAAAATATATTTTTTTAAATAAAAAAATAAAAGCTCCCTGTCTATATTTCTACTCCAGCCCCTAACCCAGTACCTGACTTATAATATGTTTTATGAATAAATGAAAACAAACATAAATCCAAATTGAGGGACCTTCTATGAAATACTTCTATAAAATATCAAGGTCAATCTTTCATAGACCAGAGGAGACTAAGGATTCATGATGGCTAATTGCAGTGTGGTAACCCTAATTAGGTCCTAGAACAGAAAAATGGCATTAATGCAAAAACATATACTATTTATGTGCACTCTTCTGCTTTTAGCTCTTGTCCCATTATCAGCAAGTGTGTGTGTGTGTGTGTGTGTGTGTGTGTGATTTCTTCAGTCTTCACTTTTTTCTGAGTTGCTACAGAGAATTCCATTGTATGGATGTACTATAATTTATTTAACTGGTTTCTTATTGATGACCATTGTTTGCAGTCATTTGCTGTTGTAAATAATTCTGTAATGAATAACCTATATGTGCATTACTTTTCTATTTTTATACTTGAAGCTGCATATTTGAATGTTAAGAGTAATGATTCTCATATAGGGGTGCTCTTGGCAAGCACAGTGGGCCCCACAATGAGTCATTAGGGTGGGTTTCTGTTTTTTCATATTTCTTTCTTTTGTTTCCTCTAGATGTGAAATCTGGAAGCTACACAGTGTTACAAGTGGTGGAAGCCCTTGGGTAAGAAAGAGTTCTAGAATGCCTTCTCTAGCCTGGCCTCAAAAAGTTGTTTATACAACACTGCTTTCCTGGTCCTAACTTTTTCCTATTGCAGCCCAACCCACCCACTCACCTCTTATCAGTACCTCAGGCTAGACCCCTGTTCTCCTAAAAAAAAAAAAAAAAAAAAAAAAAAAGTGTCATGCCACCTAAGGCTCCTAAGGAAGTTTTGGGAACACAGAGCCTATGGGCCACACCAGGTCCTGGGTCAGCCCGCAGGTTTGGGGTGAGGTGGTTGGTTGAAGACCATTAACTATTATTTAATTAGAGCTGGGGTTCCTCCTATGCCTCTTAAGACTCACCTGCCCCCATGGTATTCTAGTCATCCTGGATCTGGCTCAGACCTGCCTTGGGCCCTGCTGGGCATTGCTAGGAAGCTGACCTTGCACCAGAACCCACTATATTGGAAAAGGTTTGGGGAAACAGGTGGAAGATCATTGTCCTAATAGATATTCCAAGCATCAGAGAAAGTATGTGCTTGTAGTCC